ATAATAATTATTTTTTGGAATTTTTTGAAAAATTTTCATTTTACACGGATAAATATTACCGAGGATACCTGATGCCAGTGTTATATGAATTCACATGCGGAAGTTAAAATTGGTTATGATTATTAGATTGGTATGGCTACACGTGTGTGAAATGGCGTAGGACACTTTATGGTGACAGACGTCTACACCCACGTTACGCGTAGTGAAACGTAATTGCATCTCATTGACGAGTCACTGAATGAGGAACAGGTTTTTCTTGCTCGCCAGATTAGATAATGGACTGTCGTATACATCATTGGACATTAATCGAAAAGTCGGCTCGATATAAATAGCAATGAACGAGAAGCATTTTGTGTCGATGATCGAGTCCGAGCGGATAATGAAAATTCAATGAATCCAGATTATGTTTATTTGATAGAGTCGATACAAATTTTCTTGGTTAATTTTCTCCTTGTAATTTCGGGATCAATGAGCATCCGTTCGAGAATAACCACGAGGAGACGCGGACGCGTCTTAGCCGTCGGCTAAATTTGTGTCGCCTAAACGCTCGTTCGGATGTAATGAGATACAAATAGAACCTCGCGATTGCGGGACGCAAACGGTCCTGTAGCGAACGGGGTGACTGGCCCCGTATTAGGTCACATTTGCGTCCACTCTGGGTCGAGCAGTGCACTGTGATAAGGCTGAAAAAATTTTTGTGAAATTTTTTTTTTGGGAAATCACGACAATAAAGAAATTGAAAAATGAAAATTTTTTTCTTAAAAATTTTTTCTACACAGATTTATAAATTTCAAAATTTCTATTACCCATGATAAATTTGTATCGTGCCCTAGAAGGCTACGGCCCTGAACCGAAGTACACTTACGCTCTCGATCACTCCCGTCGTCAGCCGAACAATTTATCTATAACAACGGACTGCCACTTTTATTCTCACTGGCGTTCCCGTGTATAAACCTGCGTACCCATAATGCTTTGCAGTTCCGTGCCATTTGTCTGGTGAACCGTAACGTTCGTAACGAGACTCTAAACATCCACGTAGGACGGTTGTCGTACGTATATAATGTTTTTTTTTTCTGGACTAATGAGAAAGTGATAATCTATTGTGCAAAAGGGAAAACGATATGATTCGATGTTGCTGATGCTATCGGAAACAAAGTTGAGGGGGGGAAGTCCTTCTCGGTTTATCTCCTTGATGCGGAGGCGAGAATGCGGTGACCCTTTTTGTAGGCGAGTACCGAGTGCTAGAGTGACGGAGCAACACACTTGATACTAGAGGGATCGAGGGGAGGCGAAGGAGGGGAGACGACGGTATTCAATGAGAGGAGCCAGTGGGTTTGAGAGAGAGAATGGGCGAGCGAGGGGGAGAGTGAGAAAACCCACGGGGGCAACGACCGCTTCTTTGCGGATCGGAGCAGAGAACTCTGGGACATACGTGCTTGCGCTACATAAAGTGCATTTCTGTTTCATGCGATGATTCGGGTAGCGGTTGATTTTTTTTTTCAAACATTTTTTTTATTCGAAATAATTGATACTTTGTACAAATATTGATTTCGGGAATTTTTTGAAAATTAACAAAATTTCGGGCTCCATCACGCTCGCTCTTCTTCTGGCTTGAAACTAGTTAATGAATATATATATATATATATATGAGAATAGCACAGTGGCCTAGCCCGAAAGCATAGCGGGTCGCTGTAATATCGACGAAGCCAAGACGGTCAACGACCGACACGGTTTCGCCGGGCGATTCAGCTTACTCGTGAAGTTGAGCGTAAAAATGTTCGGCATCGGTCATCGATGACCAAAATACCAGATAACGGTCGTCGACCTGGGGTCAGTACTGCGATTTCTTAAAGTATCACGATTCCGTTTTTCCAAAAAATCTCACTCGTCCGGACTTAGTCACTATTTGCAGAAGTACCTGTGACTTGGATACTGTTACTTCGTTGTTGGCGAATCACCGATAATCACCAGAACTAATACGGTGCTGATGTGTAATTGGAAATTTAAAAAAATATAGCATACCCCATTCAATGGACGCTACTGTTGATAGATTTTGACGGATGAAAAAAAAGATTCACACAGGATCTGAAAATTGACCGTTACCCAGGCAATGGACAAGTGAAAATGAGTGGGTACGTAGAGCCCAACCTTATAAAGGTCAATGACTCCCTTGGACTCGTCTAGGTAATTACATAGTCAAAAAAGTGCCGTACACTTTCGGTGCAGGAAGTGACGTTACCGACTGGGTCACACGAGGTCTTGGACCTGATTTAAAAGAAAAGCTCGTTTATTTAACCCGTATATATACATCTACAATACGCTACTGGGATTACACAGACACGGTAGGAGCCCGTAGTACCTAACCCAAGCAAATAGAGCCTTCTACCGTTTGGTCATGCGATACCAAAAATTCATGAGGGTCAATGACCCGCGACCGGACGGATGTTCAATCTTCGAAATCGTTAAACTGGCTCGCCCGTGCCTCTCGATTTGCTCGCTAACCAGTTCTCGGACAACAATGAGCCAAAGACGACTGCCGCGTAACGCCATGGGATCCTCGTCAAGTACTCTCCTTTGTACCATTAAATGATCGTGACCAATACCGGTTTCATAGGTATCGGACTATTTCTATAATGCAAACGAGCCGACCAGCCGGAAAGGGGACCGTTAGTTTACCTTTTTCGAAAAATTCACAGAAACACGATACTCACGGTACATCCGCATTAAACTGCGTTTGTCCCTGGCATTAGGACCGTTTCTTTTTATAAAATTACCCATATACTATATATATATACACAAACACAGGCTGATGTATCTAAAAATAATATTATACACTATACGTAATACGTATCTTAGACATGTGTTCCCGATTACGTAGCCGAGCGAGAATCCACGTACCCACGATATTTCGTAAGGATTGGGCCACGATGTTTTTCCGTGAATAATGTGAATTTAGCTAGCCATGACCTTGCGCTCTTGACACCGTCGGTTATTGATAGGACCTCGGTGGCGCTGCTGACGCAGGAAGCATAACAGCGTGTGTGCGAACCTTGAACCGCTCCTACGAAGCCCACACGTCGAATGAACGGCCAATCAGGAGAGGGCGAAACGAGCATACCGGCCTAATGGCGCTCTCGTTACATCATCATCAGTCAAGGTCAAAAATAGGAAGAAGATTTAACTGACTAGAAATTCCTTCGGTCCTTCGCTCAGTCACTTCGTCGATGGATCGTTAAATTATTTTGGCAAATTTTTTTCATGACTCCTTATCAGGGTTGTCCTTGAAAAAAAAAAAATTGATAGGCACATGTATATAACGTATCACTCATACTCCGATCTCCTGCTCTTGAACTCCGCCTTGGTCGTTTAACGATAATCGAAATAAACTGGCGACTCCTTCTCCCCTATAAAACCACGGAGGTCGCAAGCTGTAATCGATTAATCGATTATTTGTATTTATTATATATCAAACGTACCGATATGACCTAAGTATTTTTACGAGCCAATGTTACAGGTTGGGATCGATATGCTAGATTGGTACCGATTGATCGTCAGATTTAATCTAATTTCTCGAAAAAAAAAAAAAAAAAAAAAAA